AGGGTTTACACTACAACAGGTCTCTTTGCTACCAGTCTATTGAATTTCAGTTATACTATGTTACCATTTATGGAGGGAAAAAAAAGAACTCTTTAGTTTGAGTCCATAGATAATACTTTTAAACAAATCAGAACTGATCTGGAAATACATATTTTAAATCTTGATAATAATAATCTAATTGGATTATTTTTAGGAGAAAAATTTCCCCCATCCCCAAATTAAGGATAATTATGGAGCTGTGGGGCTTTCACTGTAAAGAAGATCCTGTCACTGGCTCCAGGCTAGCGAGGAGTGTGGTAAAACAGAAAACGCGGCTGTGTATCAGGAAGATGATCTTGTAAAGAGAAAGCAACCTGCTACAGGGGAGAAAAGGTGTATGAGTTTCAAAAAAGCGAAGAGTAGGCAACTGTCAGGGTGTTAGAGAGAAAGAGAGAGCCAGTCCTCTCTGAGGTCTAGAACATGCTACAAATCATAAAGAGAGGAGATAAGGCCAGTGGAAAGAGTGGCATGATTGTCCAAAGATGTGGAAAGAAACTTCCACAAAGATTCTGGAAAAGGTGCAAAAAGAAATCTGGAAAATGTGCAGCAGGGCCAAATAAGCCTGAAGCCTGGGCAGTTTCTCATACGATACAGCAGAGTATGGGACAAGTAGGGACACTGGAATCAGAAAGCTGGGACGAGTTCCTGACCCTGCCGCTAGCTCAGTCTCCTCTCCTGTAACATGAGAATAATAGTAACTGCACACGGGTTTGTCATAAAGATAAGTGTTTTCGTGCAAGTTAAAGTCCTCGTGTATTGGAGGTGTTCAATAAATGGTAGCTTTAGTTAGAGCGGGGCAATGCAGGAGGGGACAGCTCCAAGGAGGAGCTTCTAATTTTGATAGTCTTAGCCCTCCTCTGAGTCCCTGGATTCTGATCTTGACTTTGTCTTGACGTTTGCCACCCACACACTCTGCCTTTCTGACTCCAGATGGTAATTGCCATCTCACAGGCCAGACTATCTCCTACCTACACTGACTCATAGCAATCGGTCTGGCTCTCCATGTCCCGTCCTACCAACGCTCCATGTTAACTCTGTGGGCTTCAGAGAAGGTGTCGAAACATTTTAAAAGGTACAAATCTCTTTGCATGCTTTGAGATCTTCAGACTTTTCAAACACTTTCATTTTCAGAATTATTGAGTACTGATAGAACCCTCGGTAAAGTATGACTACCAGTGGGATACTATGTTCATAAAATTTTTAAACTTTGAACAAGTTCAGGACATATATTTTTGTTAACAGATCATCAAAATGTAATGGACTTATTTCCATTCGAATTGGAGAGATTTTGAGGGAGAAAACAAACCCAGCATTTCAAATTATTTATCGTATAACTGGATAGACAACAATTTAGAGAATAGCAAACATCTTTTGAACTTACCTTAAATAGATATTATGTTCTGTATTTTGCCAAGATAATAGCATTATCATAAAGAAAGTGGAAAAGGTGTGGCAAAGCTATTTTATATATCCGTTATGAAACTCTAATTTATGTTTTCATGAGAAAATAAGGATATAGGGGCTGGCCCCATGGCCGAGTGGTTAAGTTCGTGCGCTCCGCGTTGGCGGCCCAGGGTTTCGTTGGTTCAGAACCTGGGTGTGGACACGGCACCGCTCATCAGGCCATGGTGAGGCGGTGTCCCACATGCCACAACTAGAAGGACTCACAACTGAAAATACACAACTATGTACCGGGGGGCTTTGGGGAGAAAAAGGAAAACTAAAATCTTTAAAAAAACAAAAAGAAAATGAGGATATAAAATAATATATGGTGCCATGTTTTAAGCGTGGACAAAATTATGTACAGTCATGTGTCACTTAATAATGAGGATACATGCTGAGAAATGCATTGTTAGGCAATTTCATTGTTGGGTGAACTTCACAGAGCATACTTACACAAACCTAGATGGTATAGCCTACTATACACCTAGGCTACATGGTACTAATCTTATGGGTCCACCATTGCATATGTGGTCTGTCATTGACTGAAACATCATTATGCAGCAGATGATTGTATGTGTCCCTTTAAGGAATTTGTGCTTTCAAAGACCTCATTTTCTTCGTGGTGCACAGAACAGTCTGGCAGAAGCAAATGTGAAACATGACACTGTTTAGGTTTTTCAAAGTCAATTTTTGAGGAGCAATTTATTGAGAGACAATTTATATGCAGCAAGATTCATCATTTTTAGTATACCGGTCTATGAGCTTTGACAGTAACGTGACCATCACCACAATCAAGAGACAGAACAGTTCCAACACCCAAAACATTATCTCATATCCCTTTGTGGTTAATCCCTGCCTCTACCCTCAACCCCTAGCAACCCCTTTATCTATTTTCTGTCCCTATGGTTGTGACTTTTCCAGAATGTCATACAAAGCTTTTCAGTCTAGTTTCTTTTTTGTAGCATAATACATTTGCAATCATACACGTTGTGTAGTTTGTCCCTTTGTACTGCTGAGTAGTATTCCATTATATGGATGTATCCCAGTTTGTTTACCCAACTGAAGGACATTTGGGTTATTTCCACTTTTGGGCAATTGTGAATAAAACTTCTATAAACATTCATATACAGGTTTTTGTATGAACACAAGTTTTCATTTCTCTTGGATAGTGATATGTTAGGTAATACAGTCTATTTTAACATTATAAGAACTGTCAAACCGTTTTCCACAGTGTCTGCACCATTTTTTTGCACTCCACCAGCAATGTTTGAGAGTTTCTGTTGCTCCATATTCTTGTCAACACTTGGTACTGTCAGTCTTTTTTTAGATATTCTAATAGATGCGCAGTAGTATCTCATTGCAATGTTAACTTCCATTTCTCTAATGTGTGATGATGTTGAGCCTCTTTTTATATGTTCATTTGCCATCTATATTCTTCTTTGGTGAAATGTTTAAACTTTAATCCATTTTTTAATTGGGTAGTTTATTTTCTTATTATTGAGTTTTGGGAGAATATGTGTGTGTGTGTGTGTATACATATGTGTGTGTGTGTGTGTATATATATATATATATATATATATATATATACATAATCTTACATGTATATATGTAAGATCTCATCTGCATCCAAAGACCTGAGAACCAGAAGCCTCGACGTCTGGGAGTAGGAAAAGATAGGTGTCCTGCCTCAAACAGAAAGAGCAAATTCACCCTCCCTCTACATTTTTATTCTCTTCCAGCCCTTAATGGATTGGATGATGCCCACCCACATTAGTGAGGGGAGGAGGCAATCTTTACTCAGTCTATCTTGAATCAGTAATCTCTTCTGTAGACATATTCACATATACACCCAGAAATAACGTTTTACCAGCTGTCTGGGCATCCTTTAGCCCAGTCAAGTTGACACATAAAATTAACCATCACAGCCATCAAAGGCATACTTCACCTCTGTCGCTGTCCCTGTCTGATAATTCCAACATCTGGGTCATCTCTGAGTCTGACTCTAGATGTCAGACTCATCTGACATCTTGCTCTTTACTGTGGATTATTTTGTCTTGCTTTTCTGTGTGTCTCATTTTTTTTTTTTTATTGTCAGACATAAAGTTTAGAACAGTAAAGACTGAAATAAATATAATTTATGCATAGAAATGATACACCTCTTCTCCTAGGTCATTAGTGTGGGATGAGGTTTCACTCAATCTAGTCAAGAGTTAAGATGGGTTTGCTATGGTGACCTTGGGCTCACCATGAACTTCAAATTTCTCTGGAGTTACCTGGTGCTTAGGGCAGGTATTGTTTTGACAAAGCGTTTTTCTCAGTGTTCTTTTTTGTCCCCTGTGTGCCTATGTCTCAGACAGAGTCTCTCTCCATGCCCTTGCCCCTTCTGCTGTGGTTGACTGCTATTGCTTTCCACCACTTGTGGGGAGAAGGAATGGGGTTCTCTGTTGTTCTGGCTTAGCCTCCATCCTAGGCAAGCCCTGTGTCACAGGTTGGGTGGAGGTTTGGTAGTGGCTTTCTCAGTGATCCTGTCCCCATCCCCACAGCATTAGGAAATCCTAATGCTCTGGGTCCAGGATAGTTTGCTGCCCTCCCCCCCGGGAATACACAGTTTTATTTCTCCTCCACTTCCCCAGCCACAGTCAACCTTCATATGTGCTCTGGGAAGAGTTTGCTGTCCTTCGCCCAGTGGCATAAGGCTTTGGGTCTAGGCAAGAAAGATGCAGGGGAGACTTTGTGCCTTTCCCATCAACGAGCTTCTCTCGCCTCCGTGCCCACACTACCAAGGGAGGCTCTATCCAGTCTTCTGCCCTGACCCCTTCTTTTTCATGAGTGCTTGGAGAAGATCCAAGGAAAAGAGTGGGCAGGTCTCCTTATGTCTTCACTCCTAGAAGTTCTATACTCTCACACTAGCCCACACTCAGCTTTTGTTACCAATTTTACCTCACTCTAGTGGGACACTAACCCACATTCAGAGGAGCTCTGAGGAGGGGCCCACAGGTGGGCCTTGTACCCACAATCCATCCCATCCTCAGTGGTTTTCTTTCCTGTTTGACGTTGCAGATTTGAATTGAAACCGAAGCTGAGCATTCAACAGCACAAGCTTTATTCAATGGCCAAAGAATGGAGAAGTGAAACTATGTTCACAAGCCAACTTCTCAGCTCTTGGGGTGATTAAGCAGCTAATACACAGGGTCTTGGTAATGAAGGGGAGGAATATCCACAGTTATTCAGGGAAATGGGCAAGCTTTTCCCAGGGAACAAGGGTGCCTCCTCCTTTCTTTCCTTATTTGCTTATGTCCTGCTGTTGCCAATTGTAAACTGTCATGGCACTGGTGGGTATGTTATGTAGCATGTTGATGTATTACAATGAGCATATAATGAGCTGTGGGGTCTATGTCAAGTCAAGTCAGGCTGCCATGTTCCCTTCAACCTATTTTAACTGCTTTCAACTATATGTCTCAGCCATCTCTTCCTTCCTCTTTTTGTGGTTTCCTGTAAGCTAAAGAGAATACGTTAGGTTTGTTCTAAGCAGGGCTGTCAGTAAAGTCTTAGAGGGGTGGTGGGCTGGGTGAGACTTTTAGCAATTTGTTAACAAAAAATTAGCTAAATTCTTCTTACCCATTTTCCCCCGCAAAGTGAGTCAGCGTTTATGTCCCTTCTGTTCTTGGAAATATCCGTCTGTCTTTAGATTTTAAGTTAGATGATTGGCCTGTGACCCCAGTTTCTGGTAAGTCAATAAAAAAATTATCATTTTGTAGATTATCTGGATTTTTCTTGTTACTGTGGGAGCGATGGTGTTCCCGCTGGCTAACTAGATCCTAGACTGAAGCTGGAAGTCCTCCAGGGTTGATTTTAAAGCAAATAAAACTTCTCTTGGACCAGAGAGGAAACTCTAATTTAACAAACACATGTTTAATGAGCGATTGGACTTTAACTATCTACAACTAAAAGTAAGTAATTCTGTCTTATATTCCCTGTTGATTGAGGAGGATGATGGCATTCAGTGAGACTGTGAGAAGGTTTGCTTTTGAGACTGTAGGCTAATTTTTAACTGAAAACAGTATATTTACCTAAATTAGTGGAAAATATAATATAGTAAGTGCTAGGATAGGAGTTCTTAATCCTTCTTTTCTTTTTTTTTTTTTTTTGGTGCCATAGAACCCTTCCACAATCTATGAATCTTTTCTCAAAACAATATTATTAAATGCAGGACTTAAAATATATAGAATTAAAAAGGAAATCAATTATATTGAATTATCGTTTTCAAAGTATTTTTAAATACAACAAAGAAATATATGCCTTTCCTATTTCTCACATTAAATGACAATATCTAGAGTCAGGTCTAATAACTACTGTAATTTCAAAGAGTGGTGAGAGTAAATGCTATTTCATGCTATCTGCAAAAATTGTAACCTGATGCGAACTATTCGTGGTTTCTAATGGTTTGAAATTAGATATCGCTAATGCTATTGAGCTTTATTATCTACATTCAAATTTTTTTAAATGCTGAATTTTAGTGAGATGTTAGTGAAAATAAAGATGTAATCTTTTTCCCATCTAAGTTCACAGACTTCTCTGATTTCTATCTATGGGTCCCGCAAGGGGCACACTGGATTAAGAAACGTCTGTGCTAGAAGCCGAAAGCAATCAGAAATAAAGGGAGAAAAGTCAGAGAGGGCTTTAGGGAAATTCCAGGTGGAGATCACAGCATCTGCAAAACTGAGGATGCAGCTGAGGATGAGTGCAGTACATTCAGAGAACTGAAAGTAATTTGGTATTTTGGAACACAACTACGATTACTACTACCAGTTACCCTTCATTGAGGACTTTTTAGATGCCAAGTACTGTATTAAGTATATTATAAACACTTTTTCCTGGAATTTAGTCCTCACAACATCTCTTTGAGGTAAACATACTTGATTTCCACTTTAGAGATGAAGAAATTGGGGTCCAGAGATTTTAAACAACTTTCCTAAGATCAAGTAGCTTGTGTGTTGCAGAGCATGTATTTCAACCTAGATCTGTTTCACTCAAAGCTCACGATGGACTTTGGGTGTGTCTTCATTTGTGTGGGAGGGAAGCATTTCAGTCTGGAAATGCTCAGGGATGAAGAGTCTTCAATGCCATACTACAGAGAGTGCATTCTCAAAACCAATGCAGAGTCTACTCTCCAGCTTCAGCCCCTGCCTCTTCACGTACTCCTTAGCCACCTTGGACCACTATCATTCCCAAACAAAACTGATTTTCCTAACTTCGTGCTTTGCATACGCTTTGCACATGCCTGGAATGCCGTCCTTCCGAGGTTGCCTTTTTCTCCTGGCTAACTAGAACTCACCTTTCAAGACTTCACGGGTGTAGGTGCTATCCTTGTTTAGGAACGCTAGAATCCTAAGCTTTCCAGACGCCGGAAAAGAAAACAGAGTAAGGGCAGTCCTACCAAGAAAAGAATGCAATATGGGGTACGAGCAGCAACGGGTAATATATTTTTGAAGCTACCTTCTAGGTCAGAAAAAAGGTGGCATCAGAAGAGGAATCAAGAGGAAAATTAGAGGGTTTATTTGCCTATTAAACAAGATGGTTGAGCTTACAGGGGAAATGAAAGCAGCATATGCTAACTATAAAGAGTACTGCTTCCTTGAACAACCCTATCTGGGGTTCAGCCCTACATAATATGTTTATAATGTTTGTTTAAGTTTCCTTTTGCATTTCAAATATCAAATTGTTAAACCTTGAACAGGAACATTATTTTTTAAATTGCTTTCTCCAAAGATTTTTATAAATTTGAAACTTATAAAACCAGTAAGTATTGGTATATATGCTTCATAGAAAATCCTTTTATCAAAAATCCATTCAATCAGTATTTAATGAGAACCTAAAAATGTGCAAGGCACTATGGGACATGTGATGAATTCTACAGCAGCAGAACCTCTAAGATCCTACACAGAGGTTGCACATTTACACTTCACAGTCATGTTTTCTTTGCTCCAGATTTTTAAGAATATTAAAAATTCAGGAGATTTCACATAATCATCTGGATTTCTGGGTTCAATTGAAGAAGTGGTGGATTGGCACCACTGGACTTGCAGTCTCAAATGAAATGGACTGGGGCTGAACGGGCTGCCTTTTACAGACCAGATGCATGCTTTCCAGGACACCATCGGCACCACCACTCTGCCAATCTCGGAGTCTCAAAATGTGGAGCCATTCTTGACGCTGACCTCACTCATCCTTCATATTCAATCAGTCAGCAAGTCAATCCAGTGTCTACCATATCCTTCACTTCTATCTCCTCCTTTTCACTCTAACTTCAATAATGATTCCAGGACTTTATTACCCCCTGATGAGAACTGTAAGAATAATAGCTAACATATACCGAGCAGCACTCATTGTGTTAAGCATTTTATATGAACCATCTCATTTAAGCCTCACATCAGCCCTTTGAGATAAATTCCATCACAGTCCTCATTTTACGATAGAGAAAAGCGAGACACTAAAAGCTTAATGAACCTACCCAAGGCCCCACAGCCTGCAAGTAGTGGAGTCTGCCTCTCGAGACTCTACTCTTAACCCTACAAATAAATCACACAGATAGCTTCAAGGTTGGGTACAGGGAGCCCTGGCGCCTTGAATCTTTCCAAGGGGTAGGAAGGAATAGAATGCTTTAAGAGAATCATTTTCCAGTCCAGATCTTCAACTTCTATAAATATTCTTTCATGAAATGGATCTGCCTGCTAACTCAACTAAGGTCTCAGAGTCCTCTTTCACCGTGACCCTTCTTTCACTGATTATCCCTCACCCATCTTGAATCTTACTAGGGTGCATTGCCCCAGAGCGTAAAACCCTCTAGGCAGTAAGCAAAATGACAACATGAAATATTGGTGTAGATGTTGGGTGAATAGCTTTTTCAGTTGGGTAACAAATGCTTTCAAGGTTCAGTCCAGTTACAAGTTCCACACCAACCAGGGATATAGAAAGATGGAGTGTTGTTGCCAACCTAACAACACCCTAATAACTTTTTCTTCTTGTTGTTGTTATTATCACCTTCAGTGCACCACAGCCTTCAAATTCTTTGTTGCCCTATGCTTAGGGTGGGAGCTGAGCAATAGGAAGGTCTTTTCTCGGAGTTCCTGCTGGCCCCTCTGCTCTCAGCCATCTCTGAGGCCAGGGTCACCGTGCAGTCCCTCCACCAGTTGCAGGCTGCTCTTGTGCTGTTGTTACTGGGTACAAGCCCTGGGATGGGAGCAAGAGAGATTCTCTATTTTCCTGGTCCAGCTCTGTCTTAGGCAGGTCCTCTGTGCCTAGGTCTTCGAGACAGCCTTCCTCAGAATTCCTGCTCCTTGCCTATTTTTGGCCTGTTGCTCTTCCAGACAATAATTAGAATCAGCTTATAGAAGTCTGATAGGATTTGTGGGAGAACTGCAATCTTTATGATGATGTTAAACTTTCCTATTCATAAACATGACACAGGATTCCATTTATTCAAGTCTTTCTTTTATGTCCTTCAATATTTTATAACGTTGCCCATAAAAATCTTTTATATCTTGTGTTAATTTTAGATGTTACTGCAAATAGGATTTTTTACTAGTATATTTTTAATTGGTCATTATTATTGCTTAGGAATATGGTTGATTTTATATGTCAATTAGTTTCCTAGAGCTGCCATAACAAAGTACCACAAAATATGTAGCTAAAACAACATAAATTTATTTTCTCACAGTTTTTAGGGTAGAAGTCTGAAATCAAGGCGTCAGCAAGGCCACACTCCCTCTGAAGGCCCTAGGGGAGAATCCTTGCTTACCTCTCTCAGCTTCCAGTGATCCCAAGTATTTCTTGGCTTATGGCCACATAACTCCAATCTCCGCCTCCATCTTCACATGGCCTTCTTCTCTCTGTGTCTACTTTTCTGTTTAGAAAGACATCAGTCACTGAATTTAGAGCCTAGCCTAAATTGAGAATTATTTCATCTTGAGATCCTTAACCAACTACATCTGCAAAGACCCTGCTTCCAAAGAAGGTCACAATCTGAGGTTCCAGGTAGACACAAAATTGGGGGGGACACTATTCAACTCACTTACAATCTTGTATCGAAGCTTGACCAAACTTTCTTATTATTTCTAATAATTTGTGGATTATCTATGTAGACTTTTATGTTATCATCAAACAGACAATTTTCTCATTTTCTGTCCCTTTTCCTTCTTTTGTCTACCTAGGTCTTCTTAGTTTTGCTACAACTCCAGAAAAAATGTTGGATGAAAGTTGTGATGACAAACGATTTTAATTTGTTCTTAATTGTAGCATGAATTCTCCTAAAATTTCACAGGTAAGTGTAATGTATTTGATGTAGGATTTTAATAAATATCCTTTATTATACTAATCAAGTTTCCTTCTTTCCTAGTTTGCAATGTAACATTTTTACATTGTTTCGTTTTTAAATTTTGAATGAGTGCTGCATTTTACTGACATTTTTTCAGCATCGATTGAAATGATCACATTTCTTTCATCTAAATGTTAATGTGGCTGTCAGGGAGGAAAAACTGTTCTTCCACCCTCTTATGTTCTGTGAATGGAGTCCTGTGAATTAAACTGACAAAAGACATATTAACAGAAGGAAAAAGTTTATACATATGCATATGGCAGCCAACAAAAGGAATAACTGTCTTGTTAACTGATGACAGTTAGAGGTTTACGCACCTAATTTATCAGGGAAAAGGGAGGAGGGAGAAAAGGGTCTTGTAGGAAGAACAAATAAGTTTCTTTAGGAAAGGCAAATTGTTTTTTAAGAGAACAAACAGGATATAAGAAAGTTTGTGATACTGTTTGTTTATGCAGGTGCCAGTGGTCTTTCCATTTTCTTCATGGCCATGAAACTCTCAGGAGTGGCTATTTATAGTGTTCTCATTTCCCAGAAGTTGCTGCTTTTAATCAGATAAAGAACACTCCAAGAAGGCTTTTATCTGTATCTATTGAATCTTAAATGTCTTCAGCTTAAATCTTAAGTCTTCATACCAACTCTGGGGTCCCCAGTGGGTCCCCACATGGTAAAATACAATGGATGTCCATCATTGTCTTCCTGGGACAAAACTAACTTAGCCATTGAAGCCAGGTACCTGAGGATTAATATAGATATTCAATAAGAACACGATTGCCTTTTGACCTCTTTCCCAACAAGACATAGATGAATCTTGTCAATATGCTGTTTTCTTATTTAACTTGAGGGGTGACTCAAGTCTTGAGGATTGTGAGTTTGTTTTGCAGAAGAAAGAAAATGCCTTTGGGGAAGTTGTGATCACCAGATGGCCAGTCCCAGCAACTATTTCAGATTGCCCAGGGACTTTTCAGGAGTGACCACTTTGTTTCTCTGAAGCTTCCCCTGCCAAGCCCCTTAGTTCTATAAAACACCCCTGCTTTTTGCTCTGTTTGAGGCAGATTTGAGCAAACCCAGGTTCCTGCCTTCTCATTTTGGCCAATTCAAATAAAGCTTTCTCTATCTCCAAGCATCAATGTCTCAGTGTATGGCTTGCTGCACACTGGGCACACAAATTTGAGGTTAAGAGGTTCAGTGTCACCATGATGGTTTTCTTCCCCATATATTACAGAATCCAATTGGCTAGTAATCTATTTAAGATTATTCACCTGTGTTCCATAGTGAAATTAATTTTCCCTTTCTTTACTTTCCTTGCAAAATAGTTTGGGGAATTTTCAGCCTCTTTCTCTAAATAGTTTATATAACATGGGTGAAATAGGGTAAAAATTGGGTAAAACTTGTGCCTTTGGGAGTACAGATTGGAGATATTTTTCTATTATGAATTCATTTTGCTTAATAACTACATTTTTAGAATTTTAATAGACTCTATTTCTTAAAACAGTTTTAGATTTACAGAAAAGTTGAGAAGATAGTACAGAGAGTTCCCATATACCCTGTACTCTTCTATTATTATGGTACATTTGGTACATATGGTATCATTATGGTACATTTATACTATGATAAAAATGTAAATATGTGGTATATATGACTATGATAACATATATACTATGGTACGTTGTTATAATTAATGAGCCAATATTGATACATTATCATTAACTAAAGATGATACTTGATTCAGATTTCTTTAGTTTTTACCTAATATCCCTGTTCTGTTCCACGATCCCATGTTACATTTAGTTGTCTTGTCTTCTTAGGTCCTTTTGGCTGTAATAGTTTCTCAGACCTCCCTTGTTTTCGATGATTAGACATTTTTGAGGAGTACTGATCAGGTATTTTATATAGAATGTCCTTCAATTCGGATTTTTCTGGTATTTATCTCATGGTTACACTGAAGTTATGAGTTGTGGAGAGGAAGACCACAGAGGCAGAGTATCATTTTCATCACATTAAATCAATGGTACCTATTATCGATAGGATTCACCCCTGTTGATGTTGACCTTGATTACCTGGCTGAGACTGCATTTGTCAGGTTTCTCCACTGTAGAAGTTACTCTTTTCCACTATTTCCAGGCTGTAGTCTTTAGAAGGAAGTCACTATGCACAGAATAATTGCTTTTTCATTTGAGCTTTTTATTCCTTCTCCCATCAATTTTGTTGTCATATAATTTTAAAATATTTCCTCTGTGTCAAAGCTTGCAAATGGATTGATATAAAGTTATTCTAGTACTTTCTCATGATTTCAAAAATCTTGGTATCAGCTTTGGTCTACCCTTTTTTAGTCGCAAAGTTAATTATTTGTATATTTTCTGGTTTTCTCTTGATCAAATTTACTGGAAAGTTTCTTACTTTTTAGTTTTGTTCTAAGAATTAGCTTTTTATTGTGTTGATTGTTTCTTTGTTTTATCTCCTATTAGTATCTGCTCTTATATTTATGATGTCCTCACTTCTACTTTCTTCAGATTTGCTATGCTGTTCTTTTCTAATCTTGACTGGGCCATCTAGCTCATTCAGTCCTAACTTTCATTGCTATGTGATAGCCGCATTTGCAGTTATAGACTTCCCTCTTAGCGATGCGGTGGCATTCTACAACATTTGATATAAACTACTTTCATTGTTATTCCCTGTCAAATATTTTGCAATTTCATTGTGATTTACATTTCAATGATGAACTTAAAAGTTGCTGAGATTTCCCTTGTGACCCAGTATGTGGTCTGTCCTTGATTTTCACACGCACTTGAAAATAATGCATTGTCTCTTTGTTTCCTTGGTTTTTCCCCTACGTTTTTGGGATTCTTATTAAATGTGGATATTGACATTTTTATTTCTTTGCTTCATATCTTTTAACTTGTCTTTCATACTCTTTGAACTCTAGTCTCCTTCTTGATGATTTCTGGGAGAGGTCCTCAAGCTCATCTTCCAACTCACTAATTTGATTTTTGTGTGCATTCTACTCTTGCACCAGACTATTATTCACTTCAGCAATTATATGTTTTGGACTAAGAATCTTCAACTAGTTCTTTATGACTGTTTGTTTCTGCTTTACAATCAGACAATTGATATCTCTACTTTATCTCTGTCTAATGATATTTATTATGCTTATTATAGGGGAGGAAGAACCATTCCTCTACCCTTCTAAGTTCTTCTGGCTAGTCTAAGAATTAAACTGACATGAAACAGAATAACAGGAGAAAATCAAACAAATGTAATAACAGGTATACATGCGGAAAACCCAGGAAAACTGAGTAACTCATCAAAATGGCCAAAGTTACCACCTTAAACATCATCTTCAGCTAAAGACAAATAAGGATGTTGGGTGTAGTGGTTTTGGACTTCAAAGGAGACAAAGGCAATTCACACAGAGAAGGTAAAGCAAACATCTGGTAAACGAATGTTTGCCATGCCTTGCAAAGATGATGGGACATGGAGAGGACTTGGATCAAATGGGCCTTGCTAGGTTCCTCTCTGTCTACCACACCCAGTTCATATTATACCATAGTCATCTACGGTGATAGCTCCTTCCTGAAATAGGCCTTCTATCTCAAATTCCCTTTTTTTTTTTAGGGTTTGGCAAAGGCTTATTTTTTTCTATTTCCAGTCTTTTTCAAAGTAGAGAGATTTGCTAGAATGAAGTTGATTCTAAGAGCACGCAAAAACTGAACACAAAGGATAAGACTAAATTCAGCAACCTAGAGTGATAAAAGAGTAAGCTACTTAGCTTGGCAGGTGGCCTGGAAGGGATACTGACCATGCAGTGGTTACTAACAGCCAGAGACTGAAGTCCTCACCCTGTAAAGCAGGCAGTCCAGCGTCTGACCACATGGTGAGTCTGTGTGTACCTCGGATTCTGCTCTGCACAGCGAAGAAAGGCAGGCCGAGCTGAGCAGTCTGTCCTAGACAGCTGCACGCCCTCGAACATAGTATTTCCTCCAGCAGTGTGAGTATAAGGCCACAATATTTATTTGGGATAAACCCCTTATGTAGTCATTTTAATATCAACATTGTTCATTCTTCCAAAATATAAAGTGCCCTAACTGAATGAAGCTGGCAGATAATTTTTGTGAAAATACTACATACATCATGACTAGTGGGTTAAAGTTATTTATACTTAGATATTTAAAATAGCCAAAGAAAATTTACTACCAAATTATTACAGTCAGTCTTAATGACATGCTTATTAATTGATCCCATAGCTATGACTACAGATTAGCATGGTTTTAGTGTCTATTCTCTCATTTGCCTAAATTAGGAACAGAGCATTTACAGAACAAATACACACAAGTGGTGCGGCCTCTCAAGGACCGAGATGGCTCTTCAGTTAGCTATGCCGCCAGCTCGGATGCACATCCGGCTACATGAAAAGAGCCGCATTCAGTTCTTCATCAAAAGGTGCTGGTGGGGGTCGTCAGAGGCCTTCCAGTGTAGATCCCCAACCCAATGGCCAGCAGATGAACAGCAGCAGAGACGGAAGAAAAACTTTCAGAAACTCTGCCGAGACAATGCCCCCTTTCTTCATGTTTTCGTGTTTCTCATGCTGAGTGTGGCTGTGCGCTTAGGGCGTCTGAAGAGGAACTCCTTGGCGGGGATATTTTCCGGCCAACTTGACCAATCCCATATCCAGTCTGAGTTTTTCTTCAGGACGCTTGCAACTTCATTCCTTCTCTCAATATAATCTTCCTCAGACTGAGAGCTGTTTTTCTCTCCAATGCTATGGGTATGTTTCAGAAGCTCTGTTAGTATCTTGTGGGGTCTGTGAGCGAGGCGGGCGGTCACAGTGAGAACTCTTGAAACTACTCCGTCCAGACTCATGCTGGGCATTCAGCAGTATTTTTCCGTTTCACCATTATAAATAGAAACGGAGGCTGGAACTCTGCTCCCGTTCCCATTTATTGCTGAAGTGCAATTCTACCCAGGAGCCCTGCAAGTTCTCCTCCTGCAGTCCGGGGGCATCCCGTTCTGCGACAGGCGACAGGCGCGAGGGAGGGCGCTGCGGCGGGCGGGCGAGTGGGCGGAGCGGGAGCGCAGGCCCCGCGGCTGGGGCAGGGGAGGGGGCGCGTCAGCTGTCTATTTTTAGGCAGTTAGGGAAGAAGATCCAAGTTTCTTCCTGAGTCTTTCAAACCAAAGACACACACTTTGGGGTATCAAATTCTGCTCCCCTACAATTCTAATTCTTGCTGTGTGTGGTCCATTACTTTTTTCCTTTTCTTATATAGTGGTTGTTCTCTTCAGATGTCTCATTTTTTTCTTAAGGTCACATTTCCCTGGGATTATCTGCTACTACCAATGGTACTGTCTCCCTAGGAGAATAGGCAAAATCCCAAGCCTTAGCTTGTGCCCTTGGTAATGAGTTTACAGAGATTCTGAGAAGGATTCTTTAGTGCTAAGAGCCTGTTTTGATCTGTTCTCGACAATTTCCCATTCTCTCACTCACACACATAATGTGACACTGACCTCAAGTGACTTTTCCGCACCTCCACTCGAGTACAGCTTTTCCAAAGAGCTACTGTCCTCTTGGGATCTAAACATCTAAATCAGAGTTTCTCAACCAAAAGCAATATTTGGAAATGTACGAGGGAAATTTGGGGGTTGCTATAATAATGCTGGATTACAATAGACATTTAGGGCAAAAAGCTAAGGGGATACTAAGCATGCTATAATGCATGAAAAAATCCCACACAATGAAGTACTGTCCCAGATAAAAATGACAATAGTGCCCCCATGGGTGGTGATGGGGAGGAGTTTAGGAATAGCTCATTCCTTTGCACATGTATATTTCACCTCTCTATCCTCAGGGTTCTCTACTGGTGCCTGATACTACTACATTGCCTCCAGCTGGCTGCTGCAAGATGATGCTGTTTCTCTGCCCTGGAGTAGCAACGCAGCAATCAGTGTTCTAACCAAGGTATTGAAAGGAAACTAAAAAGACTCAGAAGGCTCACCTCAATATTTTCCCTATCCGTGGCTTCCAGCTTTTTCCTGCATCCTGGGTTGGCTTTCTTTTCCTAAACCCTCACCTCCAACAGGCACATCAGAACCCCATCATCTCGGACTTCCCAGGGATTTCTCACAGTTTTTACTAATAACCGAAATACACTACCTCCCTCTCACTTCTGTGGCATCTCCAGGGTTGGAGCAGATGAGGGAACACATCATCTGTTAGTATCCCCCCTTGCTGCCTCAGTAGGAACACTGATTCTTAACAGCATGTGGGGGAAAACATGGTACATAGATAGCTAATTTTGAAAAAATTAGAGCAATAAAAATCAGACCAGCAGATAATAAGATATACAAAGCCATGTTTTAAAAAGGCAAAATAAAACAAAAACACAGTGTGACATCTATAGATGAAAAGTAGACCAAACAGGATGAAGAGCCCAGAAACATACCATGTATAGATGGCAATGTGAAATGATAGAAGTGGCAGCACCAACCTGTATAAATATGACAGACTATTTGGTAAATTTTTGGTAGATGATATGGGAAAAATAAATCATTTCATGGAGAAATATACTATTTTTTTCCATTTGAGAAGCTTTCTTAAACTTTCTATTTTGAAATAATTTTATACTTACAGTTTCAAAAATAGTACAGAGAGTTCTCATATACCCTTCAGCCAGCTTCACTTAATAACATCTGTGTAACCATTGTACAAAGTTCAAAATCAAGAAATTAACATTAGTACATTCGTGGCTATTAACTAAGCTACAGACTTTCTTTGAATTTCACTAGTTTTTCCATTGATCCTTTTTCTGTTGCAGGATCCCACATTGCACTTAATCATCATGCCTGCTTAGTCTCTTCCAATATCTGAAAGTTGCTTAAAAGTCTTGCATTCTTTTTCATGATTATGACACTTTTGAAGAGTATTAGTCAGTTATTTTGTAGAATGTCCCTCAATTTTGATCTATCTAGTATTTTCTCATTATTAACTGAGGTCATGCATTTTTGTCAAGAATATCACAGAAGTGGTGTGCCCTTCTAGGTACAATATTTATGGAAAAAGATGTATCTTATTACTCGTGATATTAACCTTGATCACTTTGATAAGCTGGTATCTGTTGCTTTTTTCCACTGTAAAGTACTATTTTTCACTTTGAAATTAATAAATGTATTGGTGGAAAGATATTCTTGTTTCTCCCCAAGCTTTCATCCACTGATTTTAAGATTCATCAGCCCATCTTGACTACAGAAATGTTTACTGCAGTTCTAATGCAGAGAAAATACACCTTAACAATGTATCTATCTATATAACGAAATGGAATACTTTTCATTCCAAAATGTCTGTATTTAAGTTGCTCCGCTTCAGTCACATTTTCCACAAGAGAAAAAGGGGCGTACACCTGCTTCACAATCATATCACTAAAAGGGTCTTGGTAGGAGAGAGGTTCCAGTCAACCCTGAAGGGCAAGCCCACTTATAAATTTTTTAAATAAGTTCTCCTCATTCTATCTTGGAGACAAAGTCTCAGCCAGGCGAACATGTTAATTAGAGTTTGGTCAAAAATTGACTAGGTGGCCAGATGCCCACAGTCTCCTGTTCAGGTTGTGCAAATCCATTAAAAGTGCTCTGGAAACCAATCACATCCCTCTTTGAACAAACATGTTCACTTACCTAGCCATGAAAATCCCTAGACACATGCTCCTCGTATCACTCAAGTGTCAAAGTCAGGTGCATCTGAACAAGATGTTCACGGTTTTCCTGTGTTTTGTTTTTCATCTTCATGGAAAACATCTTCAAAGAACACTTTCAGTTTCATGCTGCCAGTGAACAAAAATATAATGACGTGTATTTGCAATATCTGTAGCTGGTGTCACACGATTTTGACAGTTTCGCACATTTTAGAATCCTGTCGAGAATTTGAGGCTGTAGGGGAGGAAGACATTTCCTCTACCCTCTCTGGGTTCTTCTGGCTGGAGAATGAATTAAATTCATGAGACAGAATAACAGGAGAAAATTAAACAAAGCTTTATAACATGTATACATGGGAGAGGCCCAGGAAACTCACCAAAATGACTGAAGCCACCACCTTAAATATTATCCTCAGCTAAAAGCAAAGGAGGATGTTGGGGGTAGGGGGAGTCGATCATGGGAGATTACCACACAAGTACAGTAAACAAGAGTCAGGTTATTGTGCAGACTTGAGTCCTTGCCTTCCGCATTGATGAGAGTTTCTAGAGATAAGGTCATTCCCCCTCTTCCTGGTACAGAGAGGGAGACGCCTTTACACATGGAGATTTCCTTTACAATGTAAATGTCTCTTAAGAAAGGGTAAGTAAATTCTACTTTTCAGGGTTTCTTTCCTGTCTGCAATTTTTAAAAGTAACCAGCCCAAATAATACTCAGGCCAAAGAGGCATATCTTGGGGTGTCTAATTCCAGTCTCCCACAAGGGATGAGATAAAATTCATCCTCCCAGACCTGCAACATGCTCCAGTGCCTCCCAGAGATCATAAGGGTCGCTGAGGAACTAACTGGAGGGGCCTTTAGGACACGAGGTGGCCCTAGTAATGCGTTTGAAACCACCTCAGCGGCAGGCACAGGTTTTGTGTGCTCCACCATTAAGTGACTCAAGCACTTTCTGTCTCTGCTTCTCCTACTGCTGTTAACACCGAACCAGTCTCTACCCTCTGTCTCTGCTTCATGGCTTCTGCTGCCTCGTGTCTCCCACTATCTCATGACTGCTGGCAGCACCTTAGAATGGTTAAAAATCCAGCTCTGGAGCTCTGGCCTCAAGGCCTGCCTCTTCCATGTGCTAATTATATGACCTTAGCTAATGTCTAAACCACCTGTGCCTCATTTTCCTCATCTGAAAATGGGAACGACCTCACACACTTACTTCTGTGTGAACTGATAACGGTAGTTTGTTATCTAGGCCCCTCCTTAGGGTGGAGCTGGCATACCTGACACTCAGCTGAAACAAGCAGAAGGTTGTGGCTCTAAGCTCAAAGCATGCAGACCGCAGCTTATGCCTTGATTTGTTTTGGCACAGAGGAGAGGTACTCCGAGAGTACACTGGTGGCTTCAGAACAAAGCCTCCACACCCGGCTTACCAGAGCTCCTATGTGGAGGATTCAACAAAGTCAAAGTCTAAACTAAAGGTATGAAAATATTGGCAAATTTGGGCAAGAAGAGGAAGGGGTAACATCTATTTTTGGATGCAGAAACTTCTAATGTCTATGTAGAAACTGTGGATCTAGGCTAGGAGATGCTTCTAGGGGAAAGTAAATTTTCAGAGATGGAAAATTTTAGAAAGACAGCAGTAAGAGATTGGATTTTTATTTATGTATATAAAGAGATTTTTTTTTATTGTAAAAGATTCAGGTATACAGCTTTATAATTCAACATCTGTATATGCAACAAAGTGATCAAGCAATCTGATTTTAAAAGACAACTTGAGGAGCCGGCCCGGTGGCATAGTGGTTAAGTTTGCATGCTCTGCTTCAGTGGCCCCAGGTTCACAAGTTCAAATCCTGGGTGTGGACATACACGCCACTCATCAAACCAAGCAAACCAGGCTTTGGCAGCATCCCACGTACAAAGTAGAGGAAGACTGGCACAGATATTAGCTCAGTGAGAATCTTCCTCAAACAAAACAGGGATGATTGGCAACAGATGTTAGCTCAGGGCAAATCTTCCTCACAAAAAAACAAAAAAAAGACAACTTGAAATTCCAGGACGAAAACAGAAATTAAGATGTAATCATAGAAAAATATGGATAAAGATGAAAAATTTTTCAAAGAAATCTGAGTTTTAAAGTAATTCTTTTCCAGCTTCAGGGGTGCTAGAAAGGCTGGTAAGACAAGAAAAGGGAACATATTAACAGATTTGTCATAAGGAAGCTGGAAAAATCAAGTTACATTGAAAAGGCCCTAAGATGATGTGATTATCAGGGTCAATAATTACTGAGATATTTTGTGTCTGCTTTTTGTGTTTAAGGGAGGAGAACAAGAAATCCATTAGGTGACACAGATCCTAGAGATTCACCTAGACTTGAGCAACCCTGTATCCTTCAGGCCCTGAGCTGCTCAGTTCCCGGGAGTCCATGGTGGGCTCCATGTCTTGGAATAGCACTTCTGTTGAAGGAACAAGCTGACAGCCCAAGCTAGCAGTTGGGAGACAGGAAGAACAGCTGGAAGGGCCAAGGTTGAGCTCTGGGAGTAGATTATCTGAGGACGAAAAAAAATCGGGAGGCATAAACTTTTCATGTGTATCTGCATTTCTTTTCTATTTTGATTTGGTTGTGTTTGTGCTAGTTTTTGTATTGTCTCTTGCAGGAGCCTAATCAGGACAATGAGTGTGATAAATCGTAAGTCACTGTTGGTATTATTGTTTATATTAGCCTCCTGGATCACTTTTACAGTTGTCCAAAACTCCGCAAAGGTAGGCGTTGCTTTCTTTCTGTGTTTTACAAAAGTATACTTTTACTCGCTACTTCACATGTTTTAGGAAAGTCCAAACGACCAGACCTATAGATTGTAACAGGGGAATTTCAACAGCTTACACAACCTTTAAGAACCAAGGTACTTTATGATCATTATGCAATATGGGAGAGGATAATACTGTGTGTGGCCGCACACATTCTTCCTTTGTCTCTTCTGTATGTGTTGCAACTCTCTTCTGTCAATATTTAGCTATCTTTTCATCTTCTTTAAGGGAATTTCTTTTCTTGTTTTTTTAGTGAGCAAGATTGGTCCTGAGCTAACATCTATTGCCAATCTTCCTCTTTTTGTTTGAGGAAGATTGTCCGTGAGCTAACATCTGTGCAAACCTTCCTCTATTTAGTATGTGGGATGCTGCCACAGCATGGCTTGATAAGCAGTGCATAGGTCCAACGTGGAATCTGAACCCGCGAACCCCAGGCTGCCAAAGCGGAGGACACAAACTTAATCGCTATGTCACTGAGCTGCCCCCCAAGGGCATTTCTGAACAACAAACTATTTTTATATTTATATAGTAAAATTTGTTTGTCTTTTTTTTACAGTTAATGCTTTTTAAGTATTAAGAAACTCTTCCTTACTCTAATGTCAGATTATTTATCTAAATATTCTACTTTTTTTAACTTTAAAGACATTTAACCCTGTAATGTATCTGGATTTCTCTTTTTTACTGATTTTTCTTTTATTTCCATATGGATCATCACTTTTTCAGCTCTTTTTATTTTGTAGTTCTTTCTTTCTAAGCTGATTTATGGTGTCACTTTTGTTGTATATCAAAATTTCTAATAAGTACAGGTCCCTTTCTGGCTCTTTGTTCTATTCCATTGATCAATTTGTCTTCCAGGTATCAATACCACATTGCTGTAATTAATGGAACTTCATAATTAGTCTTGAAAACTTGTAGGTCAAGTTACCATTGCTTAATCTACTTCAGTTCTTGGCCAGTCTTGGCCTTTTACTCTTTCTTGTATGCTTTAGAGTCAGCCTGTCAAATTTGATGAAAAATCCTACTTAAATTATATGTACATTACATTAACCATGTAGATAAAATTGGAAAAAGTGACATATTTGTAATATTTTGCTGTTTAACAACATGTAATATCTGTCCATTTATTTAGGTCTTCTGCAAGATCTTTCAGTAAATTTTAGAATTTTTGCATGAGGTCTTAACGCATCTTTTGTTAGATTTACACCTAAGTGCTTTATCATTTATTGTCACTGTTGTAAATAGTGTCCTTTTCAATACATTTTCTATTTGCCTGTTGCTGGTGTAGAGGAATGCAACTGACTTTTGCCACTGAATAGCAAGATTTCACTTTCCAAGATCTTTAATTGATCCATTCTTTTATGGATGCAATATCATCTAGCATCTCTCTGAGGATAGAAAGTATACTTGTCCTAAATTTTGTTTTGCTCTTCCTATTAATTCTGTTCCCTTGGGTGTCTTCTCTTCATTAAACTTGATACCTCTCCTTCATGAATTGGCTTCCATAAAAATCTTTGCTAAATCTTGGTTGTGTGTCCACTCTATACCTGAGATTCTGTGGTGGCCAGTCTGGAGAGCTGTGATCTGTTTTCTCCAGCACGTTGGTAGCATAGGTGCAAAAAGTACTGCAGGGCAATACATGCTGCCCATCTGTCTACGCTGTGGCCAAGCACACAGGGTCCTACCCTACCTCTCCAACTGAAATATCTCTAGTTTTTACTCACACCCAAGTACAGAAGTCCCCATTTGTAGCTGCCTGGCCCAGGCTCAGGTGGGGAAGTAGGGCAGGATCAACCCACCTGGTTAGTCCTCCTGTGGGTTACCCCTCTACCCTCTCTAACCCCAGTGACCAACCTCCTCCCGGTTTGTAGTGGCCATGAAGTGGGTTCCATCTTTTTGCAGAATCCTCATCTGCATGACTTTGGAGCCAAGGTTTTCTTCCTTGATCTAATCTCACCTGCCTTTCATTTTTCAGGAGATTCCTTACTAGTTCTGGTCCAATTAAGGTATCTCTTCCTCTTTCCCAGAACAGTTAGAAATTTTTTAAGTACTTTCTTGTCTTTTATAGGATTTTATGGAGGGAAATCGAGGCTATAATATGTGCTTAGTTCTCCATCTTGAATCAGAATTTTCCTGTTATATTTCTTCATTTTGTGCACAGAATATTATTCTACCATACTAAAAATCACTCATAATTTTCTTTTTTTTTTTTTGTGAGGAAGATTAGCCCTGAGCTGACATCTTCTGCCAATCCTCCTCTTTTTTGCTGAGGAAGGCTGGCCCTGAGCTAACATCCATGCCCATCTTCCTCTACATTATATGTGGGGTGCCTACCACAGCATGGCTTGCCAAGCGATGCCATGTCCACACCCAGGATCCGAACTGGCAAACTCCAGGTCGCCAAAGCGGAACATGCAAACTTAACTGCTGCGCCACTGGGCTGGTCCCTCAAAAATCACTCAATTTTCATTTGAGGTCGTAGCAATTTAAAAATATCTGATAAAGTACTGTGATGGTTAAAAGACATTACTATGCTAATATTGTTCAGATCCTTTAGGTCCTTACTCATTTTTTTATCTACTGCCTGTAGCAGCTACTGAGAGAGGTTTTTAAGTTTCTAATTATGATTGTGAATTTTTCTATTTCTTCCTTTAGTTCTGTCAATTTTTGTTTCAGGTATAAATACATGTATGTGTAGGCACATACACATTTATGATTGCCATATTTTCTGACACATTGACCCTTCTATCATTGTGAACTGTCTATCTTTGTTTCTGGTAATACTCTTTGTCTTGAAGTCTGCTTTAATATTAATATTAGCTTTTTTATGCTTACATAGTATATCATTTTCCATCATTTACTTTCAACCTGTAGCTGTCTTTATACCTAAACTACATTCCTTACAGACAGCAAGTAGTTAGGTCCTGCTTTTGTATCTCTGCCTTGCAATGGAGTGTTTAGTCTACTTACTTTTTTAAAGATTTTATTTTTTTTTTCCTTTTTCTCCCCAAAGCCCCCTGGTACATAGTTGTAATTCTTTGTTGTGGGTCCTTCTAGTTGTGGCATGTGGGACGCTGCCTCAGCGTGGTTTGATGAGCAGTGCCATGTCCGCGCCCAGGATTCGAACCAACGAAACACTGGGCCACCTGCAGCGGAGCGTGCGAACTTAACCACTCGGCCACGGGGCCAGCCCCAGGTCTACTTACTTTTAAAGAAATTATTTTTTTTTTTTTAAAGATTGGCACCTGGGCTAACAACTGTTGCCGATCTTTTGTTTTTTTTTTTTTTTCCTGCTTTATCTCCCCAAACCCCCCCTATACACAGTTGTATATCTTAGTTGCCGGTCCTTCTAGTTGTGGGATGTGGGACGCCACCTCAACGTGGCCTGACAAGTGGTGCCATGTCCATGCCCAGGATCCGAACCCTGGGCCGCTGCAGTGGAGCATGAGAACTTAACCACTCAGCCACAGAGCTGGCCCCTAAAGAAATTATTAATATGAGAGGATTTAGGGCCACCATTTTGCTATTTGTTTTCTATTTGGCCCCTCTGTTTTTTGTTCTTCTGTTCCCCCTTTCCTGCCTTATTTTGGGTTAACTGAATTTGTTTCCTTTTTTTTTAGTATTTCCTTTTCGTTTCTCTATTATTTTTATAGCTCTAAGTTGTTAGATTCTTTTTTAAAACATTTATTGCAGTGGTTTTTTGTTTTTCTTTTTTTGCTGAGAAAGATTCACCCTGAGCTAACATCTGTGCCAACTTTCTTCTATTTTATTTGTGGGTCACCACCATAGCATGGCTGATGAGTGGCGTAGGTCCACGCCAGAGATCTGAACCTGTGAACCCAGGCCGTCAAAGCAGAGTGCACAGAACTTAGCCACTAGGCTGTGGGGCCGGGCTTTCTAAGTTGTTTTTTTAGAGGGATTTTGCTAGGAATCACAGTACACAGTCTTCACTTTCAGAGTTAATATTGTGCTACTTCATGTAATCTGTAATAACCTTTTAAACTCTTAGTTCCATTTCTTTCCTACCCCATTCTTTATGCTATAGCTGCCATATTATTACAAAATTATAGTTTTTACTTTAAATAATTATACATATTTTAACAAAATTAGGAGATAAACACATAATATTTTTTATTTGTCTGTATAGTTACCATTTCTGGTGTTTTCATTTCTTCTTGAAGATCTAAGTTCTCTCTGGTGTAATTTCCCTTTGGCTTGAAGAACTTCAGTTAGCGCTTCCTATAATGCAAGTCCAGTTGTTCCTTCTTCCACCTTTCAACTCCCCTCCAGCATTTGTCTGCTTGTAGTCACTCTCCTGTGCTTTTAGAGAGGATGTTTTTTGGTCTAGAGTTTATCATTGTTCTCTGCAGAAGAGTTAGTCCAATACAAATTACTCTGCCTTTACTGGAAATTCTGGAAATCCAATACTCTTGGATTAATATTATTACTGTTTTATTATTTGACATATTAAGTTTTTTTAATAAAAAACATTTTTATTTATCAAATAATATAGATAGTAATAACAAACACTTTAGTATGTGCCAGGTACCATTCTGAATGCTTTTCCTATGTTAGCCCAATGATCTCCACAATAACATATGAGGTGGTTATTTTTATGACCCAAATTTTAGATGAAGAAGCTGATTCACAGAGAAGTTAAGGAATTTAACCTAGGTTGTACAGCTAGTCAGCGACAGAGTCAGGTTCTAATCCCAGGCAAATCTCTCTAAAAATGAGCTGCCCAATGGTGTGAGCATGAGGTTTTAAGAGTAGAATTCTCATTCACTGCTCGTTTAGGTGCAAATCGGCACCACATTTCTGGAAAACAATTTCACAGCATGTGTTAAGATCTTTAAAAATATTCACCACATTTCACCAATAATTCTATTTCTGAGTTCTCAGCAAATAACCTGAACTACAAAGAAAGATTTATACCAAAGTTCTTCTTTACAGAATTATAAGTAATAGAGAAAAGCTGAATGCAATAACTGTCCAGAAAAGATGGAAATAGGTGAAATATTAAGCTATATCCATAGGCTGGAACACTATGCGGCCTTTGACCTAAGATGGAGAGTTTTTAACGGCACTCTTTTTAAAAAAGTCAAAATTCATTGGTAAATATTCAATTTATTCACAATCATGTAAAATAGTATATGAAGAATGAGAGAAAAATCACCAAAATGTTAAGAGTAGTTATCATTGTTGGCATGACTGTGACTGAGTTTTATTTGCTATAAAGTTTCAGCATTCTCTCATTTTTAATAATAAATCAGTGTTATTTTACAATTAGAAAATAAATATGTATTTTTATAAACCTATGTTTCTTATCTCCTAAGTTAGCTAAAGCAATCTGAAAAATACTGATAAATATCATAGAATGCTTAAGCAAAGTGAAAAAAGTGAAATAGAAACAACAGATAATCATATTTTACGTAAGAGCCCCAGGCATTTTAAACATTTTTTAAGAACTTTTTTTAAATGACTGAATTCTTGTTTTAAGATAAAAAATAACAGAACAATAAACACTTGTTCTCTGCTCTGCAGTTAAAAAACATTATCTCATTTGGTCTTCACAGTTGTCCAGTAAAGGTATATTTTATCATCACCACTTTAAGGAAGAAGATTCTCAGTCTCTTTGGGGTTAAATGACTCTCTGAAATAGATTAGCCAAGGAGAAGTGAGGTTGTACCACCAGATTTAAGGAAAATCATTTTGCCTGTGAAACATATATGATAATAAAATCTCAATATCATTTTAGTTTAATTTTCATATCTCCCATCATTCTATAAAAGATAGAAGTTGGCTAACCTACCAAAAATTATTACATTAAAGGGGAACATTTTCTATGCTCTCTATTGTATTCCTTGTCATTTCAGTTATGGACTACACTCAAGTTGCCCATCTCCCTCCATCACTGGAATTACTTCACAAACTCCTTATGTCCTGACGCATCGCTGAATCCAGTAGTTTCGCTAGCAGAGACTGAGCTGAGAATAAAGAAAATCATGGAGGAACTAGACCAGCTGGTCCCACCCAGACCCTTCACTCACATGAACACCACCACCAGTGCCGCACACAGCAGAGCTACCCTCCTCAACCCGCAAGACACATACTGCAAAGGGGATCAGCTAGACATCCTGCTGCAGGTGAGGGACCACCTGGGACGCAGGAAGGAATATGGCGGGGATTTCCTGCGGGCCAGGATGTCCTCCCCCGCCCTGCAGGCAGGCGCTTCAGGAAAGGTGACAGACTTTAACAATGGCACCTACCTTGTCAGCTTCACTCTGTTCTGGGAGGGCCAGGTCTCTCTGTCTCTCCTGCTCATCCACCCCAGTGAAGGGGTGTCGGCTCTCTGGAGGGCAAGGAACCAAGGCTATGACAAGGTGATCTTCACGGGCCAGTTTGCCAGTGGCACCTCCCATGTCAATACTGACTGTGCCCTGCTTTTAAACTCAAGTGCTGAACTGTGCCAGTACCTGGATGCCCAAGACCAAGAAGCCTTCTACTGTGTGAAGCCTCCACAGGCGCCCTGTGCTGCACTCACCCACATGTATTCCAAAAACAAGGAAGTTTCTTATCTTAGCGAACAAGAAAGGAGCCTCTTTGAAAGGTAAATAACTATTTTTGGAGACTACCTGGGCAACCATGGTAATGATTTCACCTACATATTGATCCAAAGGAAAGTGCTGTGAGTATATCAACTTTGGGACTCTATGAAGAGCCATTTTAGAAAAGATCTGTGAATTCGTTTGAGGACAGTGCCCACTCCCCAGTAGTCTCTAAACTTTTTGGATATTTAACCCTTGTCATTGAAACAAAAAATATAAACAATACAAATTAAAAGAGGATGAGAAATATACATGTGTGTACATGTATGTGCTCTAATATATTCTTTCTGCAATCTCAATAAATTACCTTGCACACCTTCCGGGTATCTGTACCCCCTAAACTAATAAGCAAAGAAATGAAAATTTAATAAATGGCTTGGAACCGTGGGCACAGTAGTCAATTATTATCACTAAGAAATAACTGAAGCAATGAAGAATGTGGCTTCTTGTGTTTCCTGATCTTTGGGGCCACCTGCAGATTAATTCCTGTACTTGTCTCTTTAAGGTCAAATGTGGGTGTAGAGATTATGGAAAACTTCGATGCCATCAGTGTCTCCCAATGCAACAGTAAGTTTTCCCTGTGTTTGATGAGTGGTTCTCAATATTAGACCCAGGTAAAGGGTTTCTTCTTTCTGCTGGACTTGTTCACTATTATCAGTCCTATTGGTGCTTCTCATCGGACTTGTCTATGGTGGGCCAACATACCAGTTACCTAAGTGAATAAATGATTGAAATCACTAGGATACCATAAATCTGTTTTAGCAATATAACTCTCATAATCAATCTATTTATCAGGCAATAGATTACCTGGCCATCTAATACAATAACCTTCAAATGTCAAAACTCTCTCCCAATTTACACCTAGGTCCTTACCCCCCACACGACCACCGTCAGCACTTCCCACATCACTACAAGACCAGAATCACCATCTAGAGGTTTCCAACCCACCATCTAGGAGTCAATTCATTACAATTTCCCCCTCTTGGTCTTTGCTGCCTTTCAAACTATTTTAGCATATAAAATAGCACTTCCACACTTATATTTATTAATTTCTCTTCAATCTGTTTGGCTCCAAACATCCTAAGAAATCTCTATCTAAAATCATTTAAGGCAAGAGCTTTTGTGTCTCTCTAAGCATTAACAGCTTGCTAATTGCAAATAAACTTGTTCACACTGAAGTGTAAATATGTACCTAGAGGGAGAAATGGCATTTTTCACCCAGGATACACACGTACACTCATACCAGTTGTTAAAATATGAACTATTTCCTTTGGTTGGTGAATAATCACTGCCCCAAGTCCCCCAAGGGCTCCTCACCATCCTAGCCACCTCAGTCCCTCAGATTCCCAGACCATCCACAAACCAGTAACTAACAGTTAATACCTGGCCCGTCTTGGACCTCCAGGACTCTACGCCAGCCTACAGCCATATCCATGTGGACTGTCCAGGTCCCAAACCAAACTAGTTGTTAATTTTTTGTGTATCACCCTGCATTTAATTCAAAGGATTTACAGTTTGATGGTGGCATTTAAGACACTATGACAGAGTGTGATAAACTTGGGGATAAAGTGGGCTAAAATGATAGAATAATTGAGTTTTCGCTACTAAGCAAGAATTGATGACTCTACTTACATAGGAAAGCAAACAAACGCTTAAATTTTACCCAGAAGGCTTTTTTTCCTGGGAGAAAATATGTTCTGTATAATGAACATTATGGGTATCATTTAGAAAATTCATATCAGAGAAAAATTTTACTGAACAAATAACTATTCCGTTAAGAGGATGATGCTTCAATAAGGCTTTTCTACTACGCTTATGCCCTATTAAGTAAATACTTAGAAAAGACAGTAGGTTCTTAATAAATACTCATGGATAATGTGATATTTTAGGAGAGCCTATCTTGCTGATTCTTTGGCAGAAAAAAGAGTTCCAACGAAAAAGAAATGCAAGTTTGGAATGACATCCACAATCCCCAGTGGACACGTCTGGAAAGACACATGGAATCCTGTCTCCTGTAGTTTGGCTCCGATTAAAATGAAAGAATGCCTAAGGGGAAAATTCATACATCTAATGGGAGATTCCACAATCCGCCAGTGGATGGAATACTTCAAAAGCAGTATCAACAGTACGCTTTGGTCTAAGTTGTTATGCATAACCCTTTCTGAATCTTCTTTTTCATTTCAAGGGGAGAAAGAAATACGGGAAATGCCTCTTCTTTTTCATATTTCTTAAACACAACACACAAAAACTTTTCGCAAGATGTCGTTAACTTTTCTTTGAAAGAACACATTTCTCTGACTGGAAGGGAGCCAGTGTAGAAAACAGTTTATTACATCCTTATCCCCGCAGAATTCACACTTCAGTATTTACCCAGCATGCTCATAAAATCGCTGACGGAGCTGAAGATAACCTCATATATTATGTTGTCCGCCTTCTACAATTGGCATTATGTTTAAAGGTGTGGATTCTAGATCCAAATGGCCTGGTATCAAAATCTGGTTTCTCCGTGTCCTATCTGGGTGACTTTAGGCAAGTTATATAACCATTGTGTCCCTTAGTTTCCTCGTCTGTAAAATGGAGATGAAAATAGTACCCACATGGTAAAATGAGGTAATGTAAGCAATGCATTCAGAATACTGTTTGGTACATAGTCAGTTCTCTTTAGTGTTAGCTATCATCACTATGATCATTACATGAAAGAACAGATGCTACCACAACTAGAAGGACCTGCAACTAAGATATACGACTATGTACGGGGTTGGGGGGGGGGGGGGGGGGTGGTTGGGAAGGTAAAGCAGAAAAAATAAAAGAACAGATGCCAGGAGCTGGGTGGTGACTTTGCATCAGGTAGGCACAATGGTTAAAAGCATGGGCTTTGGAATCTAACAGACTTGAACTGTGCCACTTAGAAGCCATGACCTTGGGCATGTTACTTATTTTCTCTGCCTCATTTTCCTCATCAATCAACTAGAAATAATAATAGTATCTGGTCCTTGTTATGAAGATTAAATGAGGTAATGGGTATAAAATATTTAAGATATCGTAAGCCACACAGGCATGTGGAAGCTGCTGGGTAAACAACAGCATATTGCAATTATTATCATTAGTTAATGTCAGAGTTGGGGCTAGACTCCTAGTCCAGTTGCTCTTTTTACTAAACCAAGAATGCGGTAATAATAACTCAGAATCCACTACTAGATCATAGCCCTCTAACCTGGAAAACCATCCCTGCCTGCCCTCTGTGTGCTGGGCTCTAGCTTTTATCACTGGGGTCAGTGCACCTGGTGTGGCTCCTGGTGCCAGGGGCACTCTGGCCTTCCTGTCATGATGCTGCTCTTGTGATCTCAAACTCAGAGGGTAAGCTGATCCTCTCAATGAAAAGGGAAAATCAGCAGGGCTCCAAGCTATCAGTGGAATTCCTAACAGAAGGAGACAGTTTTACATTGTGACCTCTGATAAACAACTGAACTCCTTGGACCTCAGTTTCCTCATCTATAAAATTAAGGTTCTGGTGATGACCTTTAGCATCACTTCCTAAAACAGAGTACTGAATTACTGAGTTATTACCATCTGTGACTAATCTCCTAAACTGCAGTAGCAAAATATCTGTTGCACATTTTGTTAAAAATTAAACTCTATGCCCATAGTGTGCTTTGAAAAAGGAAACGGAAGTAAGCTGGAAGCAGAATGAAGAAAATCATTCTGCCATTTTCCTCCAAGCAACCCTCCAGCATCTCCATTTTCAAATCTCACTGCATTAAGGCGTTAAATGTAGCCCTTTACTTCCAAGACGGCACAGGTTACAAAGCATTAATAATCCTTTTCTACACATTTTTCTCAGAAGTTCTAACTACAAAGCAGCTGGCCTTGATAATCTGATAAGGATCTAATTAATATGATGAAAAATGGAAGGACTTCATTTTATTCTGTTCCTATTACATTTACCATCAAAAGTTTTAAGATCGGGTGGACTACTTTCACAAGAAGTGAGAGCAGCTTCAAGTTTCAGCACAGATTCTGTCACTAGCTGTGTAAACTTGAGCAGGTCATTTAATCTCTTGGTTTTCTTTTCTATAACATGGCAATTAAATATATCCATATATGCACAAATATATATATGAAGAGCTCTGAGGGGAATGAATATATAAGTCCAAATAAACGCTTTGTAAACTGCAAAGTCCCTCACAGATGAATAGTAATACTGTTATTATAGATGCTGTACTCAGTACCGTTCCATGCATATGTAAAGGAAACACACAGGTATAGAATGTAATTTCAGTCTTAAAGGAACTTACAGAATATTTGGAGGAAATAGGTCTACTTATTTTTTTTAAAATGTAAAGACATCAATTAGTACCTTTTTCTATCTCAAATGAGCTTAGTCTACAGTTAAGAAAATGTACAAAAATAACACCTACAAAACTGACTACATCATCCTCCAATGAATTTACTTCAGAGCTTACCATCCCCAGTCCATTTGGTTCTACATGGTTCTACAAGGGGGCATATATAATTTCTTCTTGTGCAACCCTCTTGATTGCTCTAATAAGTTTTAAACCTAAAACCTATAATAAATCAGCCATGATTAACTTATTCAATCATAAACACTGAAGCTTTTCTTCATCTTTATGATCTTTGTAACTTTATTCTCCTTTCATTTTGGGATTGCCTATTTGTCATCAGCACTGAAGTCAGTGGATCTGCATGAACTTGGAAAATTTCAAAACCTGCTTGCTGTGGACTTGGATAAGAATATCAACATCCAGTGGCAAAAACATGGTTACCCCTTGATTGGATCATTGATCTACTCAGTCAAAGATATTGAGTACCTCGCCCGGGTCATTGACAGAACTGGAGGAGAGAAAAATACCATCATTGTTATTTCTCTGGGCCAGCATTTCAGACCGTTTCCCATTGATGTTTTTATCCGAAGGGCCCTCAATGTCCACAAAGCTGTTCAGCGTCTTCTTCTGAGAAGCCCAGATACTATGGTAATTATCAAGGCAGAAAATATCAGGGATATGGACGCTGACATGGAGAGATTTAGTGACTTTCATGGTTACATCCAATATCTTGTCATAAAGGACATTTTCCAGGATCTTAATGTGGGCATCATTGATGCCTGGGATATGACAATTGCATATGGCACAAATAATGTCCACCCACCTCAATCTGTAGTCAGAAATCAGATTAATATATTGTTAAACTATATTTGCTAGATAACACATATCTCTGAAATTCGTTTACTTAATTAAAAACATTAAGTGTTTGCTGTCATGTCAAATGTGTGTTTGGTTCTGAACTCCCAATTAGCACAAGATAATCTGTGCTATGGTTGATCCATAAACCACCAATTCAATCAAATCAGTTAGTTACTTCTAATTTGGGCTTCCTCTTAAAAATAAAAATACTCATGAAAAGGACCTACCGTTCTTGATCAGAACCCTGCCACTCTTCACAAATGGGGAGTCAAGACACCTAATGGTTAAAAGTTCTTCTCTCTGAGGCATGGAAATTCAGAGCAATAAAGTCCTTATAAAATAAATATGTGGAGAAAGCACTTCCATTTCCTTATTTCTACCACTAAAGATAAGCTCAAGGTGATTTCCAAGTGGGAAGAGAAGTCTTGTGAGGCAATTCTCCAGGTCCACAGTCCTGGAGGACCAGCAGAATTCCAAGCAAGGTCCCCGGGATACTGAAAACCTCTGACTTTTCTCTCCCTATAGAACTCCCACTGCTAGGAGACTAATCTAGTCTATAAACTTTATCCTTCAGGAATATAGGATAACACAGGCACAAGCACAGTGCACTAGAATTCACGGAGCTGGGCCTGGGTCCTTGTGTTGCAGTAATTCTATAACTTTGGATAAGTCACTTCTGCTCTCTGGACCTTGGTTTCCCAAACGAAGGGGTTAGACTAAGATTCGTAATTTTCAAACCTTGCTCTGTACAGCTCTGGGTGTTGTAGGTGGTACTTCAGGTACTGCCTGGATGGACAGGAGTTAGGAGAGGTGCCTGGTGGGCAGGGTGCAAGATCTGCCACATCACATCAGCCAAAATATCAGCCATTTTTACGCTATGTGTATTGGACTATGTGTATGTGGTTGGGCTTTTGGTTTGAAAAAAGTTCCACTGTTTAAAACATGTTTGAAAAGCATTATGCAGATAATCAACAATTAACACATGTAGGTTAATATTTTAATCATTCTTACTTGCATTTTAATAGGACTTCCCAAAACTTGACCGAAAAAGAATGATTGATATGAGAATTTCAGTTGAATAGGGCAATATAATTAGTATAAAGCAATTTGGCATATTCTTCCTTAATTTTCCCCTCTAAACTATGCCCCAGATATCACTGGGTCCCTGACTTACTCTTGCTGTATCTAGGAAATAGCAATTGTAATAGGAACATCTTAAATATATCTAGCCTCTCGGCAAGGGATAATAAATTTTCTCCTCAATTGCCCATGAACCACAGTTCACAATTCAGTGCCCAGCAAACACTCAGATGGTCAAAAATATTTATTAAATCCCTATCATGTGCCAGGAACTGTTCTAGTCTTTAGGGAGACAGTGGTCAAAAAGGCACGTGAATTCTCTGCCATCAAAGAATTTACATCGTGGTAAAGAAAAAAGATAAACAAAAGATATAAAATAATTCCATACTGCAAAAGTAGTAAGAACAAAGTATAGAATAAGGTAATACGTTGCAGAGCGACATGGTAGTGATGGAGGTGACTAGTCAGAGAAGGCACCTTAGAGGAGAAGACGTTTCAAGTGAGATCAAGATAATGGAAAAGAGGCATTCATGAGACAAAGGAGAGACAGATGCTAGAGAAAGAACGGCAAATGCGAAGCCCCTGAGACCTGATGGAGCTTGGTTTATTTAAAGAGCAGGAGACCATTATGCCTGGAGTATTGTCAGTGAGGGAAATATGGAGGGAGAAGAATTTAGAGAGGAAGGCAGAGGCCAGATCACTATGGCCTTGGAGCCTATGGCAAGGAGTTTGAATTTTATCCTAACTAAAGTGGGAAGGCAGCTGGGGGAGGGAAAATAGGAGAGAGGGAAGGAAAGAGAGGGAGGGAGAGAAGGAAAGAGTGTGACACAACTCTTTCTGTGTTTTCCTCCTGCCTCCCTGGAGACTCCTTCCCACACTCCTTTGCCAATTCTACCTCTACTACTTGGCCTCCAAATTTGGAATACCCTGGGGTCAGTCCTACCCACCTGCTTTGCTCTATGCTCTCATTCTGGGTGATATCCACCCTGTGGTTTAAAAAACACCTGTAATTTTGACAACTTCTAAATATTTGTCTCTAGCTCTGATCTCCCCACTGAGTTTAGCACTTGCATATCGAATTACCTACTTAACTCTCCATTTTTGCATCTAGGAGGCATCTCAAACTCAACATGATCAAAGTAGAATTCTTATATCCCTATATTCCAAAACACATTTATTTATCCCTAGTCTTCTCCAATTGAAAAACATGTTAGCAAAATCCATAGAGTAATCAGAAGCTATCCTTGATTCACCCATTTCTCTCACTCATCTCAAAGTTTTGCCATATTTCCTTACAATGTATGTAGACAATCTGTCTCTTCTTCTCTTCTTCCACTGCTGCCTTCCTAGTCCAAGCTATACCACCCCTGAGGCCATTACTGGTTTTTCTGCTTATAATCTTGAAACTTCTACAAGTCACTGTCTACACAGCAGGCAGACTGATCTTTTAAAAATCGAAATCAGATTATTTCACATCCTTAGGTAAAATCTTTCAATGACCTCTAAACTCCTTTCCATGACCATAAGGCTCCCTTTCTTGTCAGTACAGTCTCAGGTCAATTATCTCCCGAGAGAGAATTCTTCCTGACCACACAAGCGAGAAGTAGATCTCTCGATCTCTCTGGCAATTAGTCACTTCACGATGTTCTCTTTTCGTGTAACTACGTATCACTATCCAAAATGATCTCATTAAGTTAGTCATGTATGTGACTCTTACCTGTTCTACTCAACGCTAGATTTATCTAAGCTCCCGAACTATAGGGCCTTGTGTTGTCCACCAGATGCTTTGTCCACAGCGTCTAGAACAATGCCTAGAATATATTAATGGTTCAGTTTGTATGTGTTAAATAAAACAAAGGCTCCTTTTACATTTGCTAGGAAGGAAGCCTGAGGCAATAATAGCTAATAGCTACCTATTTGGAATTAGAGAGATGTTTATGTATAAAATGACACGGCATGCAGTAAAGACATGTTCTCTTTCAGGTGAATCTGTCCATGATATGACAGAGAGGCTACAAGATTCATCCAATCTGCAAAAGCCCACAAGATGTGTATCACAAAATGTTTTGATGTGTTGACTCAGAAATGAAGAGTTTAGGAACAGAGATTGTATTGTTCATTGTTACCTATGGATGACTGCAGCTTTGCAAGAGAAAGGAGAGTATGGACACATGTCATTGGGTGCACTACTGTTTGTGTTACCAGGCAAACTTTGCTCTTTTGGAACATGGACAATGATATTGATATACGTGGCTCAAGGAAAGGGCTTGGCACACTTAGGGCAGAAAAAAGGAAGAATAAGATTTGGTCCCCACCCAGAAAGCAACCATAATTCAACCAAAGGGACAAACTTGTATAAAGATAACTTAAAAATGAAACCGGGGGTCCACCAGCATGGCCAAAATTTCTGTATCTTAAACTAAATTAAGCTCTAGAAGTGGCCCTTTAATGAATTTTCTACTTCCAGAACCAGGTAAGGATCATATTGAGTGTATATTCCTGCCCTCAGTCCATTGTCCAAGCTGTTCCTTTTTCATGGAAGGAACATCCTTCATAGCTTTCTCCAATTAAAGAGAGCTCAGTCATCCTTCAAGTCCCAGGTCCATACAGGCATATTCACCCACTCCCTCTTCTGCGTACTCATAACAATATTTTCCCATGGCTATAATGTTGTTTTGTGTTGGAAATAATTCTATATGTGTCTGACAACATAGATAACACTGAAACTAAATCACACATTTGATAAGGGCAGGGAATATATCTTTACCACTTATAAACAATCCCAGACCTTCAGAGCTGAGAGACTACACATGGATTCCCAGTTATTTTCAAGTTTGCAACTGCAGGCATGCAATAAGTGATTGGGACTAATAAGTAAATCAATGAGTGAATAAATAAGTACCTAATTTGACTCATGGGGAGAAAGAAATTTTTGGATAAAGCTTTCTTAAAGGATTAATGACAGAAAATATGACTCATTCTCTTTTTTGCCCTCATCTGTACTGCCTTTTGTATTCAACAACTATTGTTTCTGTCCTGACCAATACTCCTACTTCTAGTAACACAGGCCCTCTTTTACTGGGGAACTGCCCCTTCTCCACTTTATATCATACTAGAGGGACTGTCAACCATTTGATTCTGACTCTGTGGATCCCATTCATCCCATCGAAGCATTCTACCATCTACATAAGTGATGCTCCCAGTAGGATCTATTGGAACTGTTGTGTGGACAAAAAGAGCTTGTATGGAGACGGAATGATTTTATTCCACAGATTTCTCCTGAAACAAAAAGAGAAGGACACAGATTAACGGAACTACTAAGTGCCTGCTTTTATGCTTAATCCTCAAAACCTTAAGAAGCCTGCACTGTTAATATCCCACTTTATAGATGAGTAAGTTCCGCCCTAGAAAGTTAAGAACTTGTCCAAGATTGTAAAGCCAGTCTATTGAGAACCTTTTATTTATCAGGTATTATACACCTAATGGGTTCTAGTGATAAAAGATAAACAAGTGGTCCTACTTTGGGCACAGCATGAGACGGCAGGATTCTTTAGAAAAGACAATAATGCTCGGAACAGTAGAAGGCAGCAGGAATAGAGGAAGACCAAATATGAGATGGATTGACTCCATAGAGGAAGCCATAGGCGTGAGTCCACAGAAGCTGAGTAGGGCTGCCGAGGACATTGTGGACGTCCCTCATTCACAGGGTCACCAGGCGTCAGAGCCAACTTGACAGCATGTAACACACGACAGTATAAATAGATAACAAGAGATTAACACTATAAAGTAGGAAGCTGGTGGTAGATAGGAAAAACTGCAGAATTTATTCAAAATGGTGGGCTTGGCACCTGCTGCAGGCTCCCCTGTCAAATACGTCCAAAGAAATGTCTGGAAGGAGATTTATAAAACTTTGTTACCATGCTAGAGGAGAAGAATAATTTCTTTCATCAGAACAGAGAATGTGAGAAAATTCTAAAAGATTGAAATCAGAAGAGA